AGAGTGGGCCGGGCCCCCCCAGCCGATGATGCTGAGAGAGCCGCCAAGGGATGGATGGAGGCTGGGGTTTGGGCGAGGAGGGCTAATTGGAACCGGTGAGATGCTTGAAAGAGAAACCCAGCGGCAAAATCCCCCCGTGCGGTATGGTAATAAGGGAGGTGTCCTGGGCGCCACTGCCTCGAGAACAATGTTGCTGCAGTTGAGTGACTGTAACAGGCCCCGATGACAGCCGGGGCCGCGTTAAAAATGCCTATTCAAGCAGATCAAGACATTGAGAGGCCTTGTGGGGATCTGAAACCCTCAGGGATTTCTGGATGAAGCCAGAAGCTGAATCCCCAGCCCTGGGAACCTGAGGGAGGAGGGGGAAGAAAGAGAGAAAAGAAAAGAAACCCACAAAGCAGCTTTAAAAGAACTGCAGCGCCAGAGGCCGGGCCTCCTGCTCCGAGAGGGTCTGCAGCCTGAGAGAGCCAAGCAGCCCTTAGACTGGTCTGTGACTGCGGTCTGGGTGTCCCCAGGGCTGCACAGGGTTATCTGAGGCTGGGGTCACACCTCCGAAAAGTCCCTGAGCTGCTGGGGATGCTCTGTCCTTCCTGCACTGCAGACCTGACAAACCGCCCATAAAAACCAGCGGGGCTGTCAGGGGACCAGTCGGGGCATTTTTGCCTCGAGCTGAAAGAGGTCCTGCAGGGATGGGTAAAGTCCCACACTGAATGGGTAAAGCCAGGAGCCCTCAGAGGGAAAAAAGCAACAGTGGCCCCTTCTCAGCCCCCCCAGGCCATGGGGAGCTCTGACAGTACCCCCTGCAGCAGGACCCTTGGCCCTGCGGGTGCCACTCCGGGTGTAAGCAGGCACCTCGCTCCGCAGAGCAGTGCAGGAAAACACGCAGGGCAGGACGAGCTGCAAACCCCTCGCTCAGGGATCTGAGTTAGGACTGGTCAAAATAAAACCTTTCCTTATTTTTGCCAGATGAGCCAGATCATTTCCCTGATTTGTTTCGCCATGTGGCTCCCTAAACCACAAGAAAAGAGGCAAGAGAATGGAAGAGGATAGAGGCTGCTGCTTTCAACTGATGCCAGATTACAGAGGTTGTGAAACAATGGCATCGGTTGAGTGTATGTGGTGCAACTGCAACCCAAATGAAATAAGTGTTGATAACACACCGGTCCTGCAGCATCAGGGATTAACACTTACCTGTTCTGCTGCACCAAATTGCCTCCTGCTGTTACAGATTTACGCTGCAGGATTTTTCTTGCAGACTGGAAACTTTTCAAGGCAGAGCAATGCACATTCATAGACCTGCATAAATAATACAAGAGTAATTAATAATAACTCCGGTCCCTGCTCCTAATAATACCAGGAGAAGAAATTGCTTCACTGGATTGTCTCTCACTTGTTAACTGGCTGAAAGAGAAAGGAAGATCATAGTTTTGAAACACAGAATGGATGTCGCTAGGTCCTGGGCTTTTATTGCCAGCCTGGCAATCTTTAAGATTGATTTAAAGAACGCTCTACTGGGGTCATGTTAAAACAACATTGATTCAGCTTTGATTTTTTTTTTTGAGGTTTAATCTCCTAAGCCTGCAGACAAAAGTTTGAACCATGAACACAAAGGGCTAAAAAACCCAGGAAGGACAGAGGTAATCCCCAAAAATTATTACCTCTAAAAGTCTTGTCCTTTCAACTCTAAGTGCTACTCTTGAGGTTTGACACAGGATCTCCAACTTGGGGGCTGGCAATTCTGCTACACCCACCTTACAACTGCGAGGAAAGATGTTTCTGGTTTTTTTTTCACTATTTTACCTCCATCCTTGCTATTCACTGTTCATATAAGGCAAAATCAGCCATAAGGACATAAACAAATGTCAGAATTTTCCAGATCTTGATGGCTGTTCTGGACAGATGAAAGGTATCAGGACCTGATCAGCTGAAAGTCGTATTTCAGTGAATACTCTGTCACCAGGTTTGCAGCAGTCAGGGTCCTGAGGTCCCCTGCCTATGTCTCTCTGTATTAGCTCACACGGTGGCTGCACACATAATCGGGGCCGGTTTTGACCAGTGATCATAGAGATGTGGGTAAAAGTTGCTTCTCAGTAAGCAGAAGCAGGGCCACTGCAGGGACAAATAAACCAGAAATTATTTTGGATCAAAAGATCAAATAACCTCTTCTGCTGTTTCTATAAAACTCCATTATTTGGTGCCACTTAGGAAGAGATTCTCACCGCTGTTTTCAGAGGCAAAACAAGCAGTTCACATCTGTCTGACAAAGCGGTTCAAACAACGGCAATTCTCTAGTAATGGCTGCTATCAAAATACCTAAAATGGAAGGATTAATTTTTCTCTGCATTCACATTACAAGCTCAGAACGTGGTTTTAATTAGGACTGTTCTCCACTTTTTATTTATTCACTTTCCATGAACATTCACTTACTTGGGTCCTGATTCACAGCTTCACTTATGCACTTTTTTTTTTTATAAATGCGTTTAAACATAAAACTGAATTAGGTTGTTCTCCTGAAATGGCACACTTAGTTTCAGTGTCTCAAATATTTAACAAAAGGCAAAGATTTCTCTCAAATGCTGAAATGTTCACCCAAAGCAACATTCCATTGTGCATCAGGTTATAAAATTCACAATCTGCAGTCGATGCTGCATTGATTTCGATAGGCCTTCCATAAGAGACCAGCTGTCTCAGTTCACTAAAATGCTTAAGCATATGTTTAATTTTAAGAATATGAATAATTCCATCGATATCAATGGCACTTGCCTACACTTAAGAATATATTTCGCTGGGCTGGAGCCAGAAAAAGTGCCATGTAATGCCAACAAAGTGCAAACTGCCGCGTTTCTTTAAGTGAATTCTGGGACCAATTTAAAAATTAATCAATGAAGAACTGTAATATGAAAATGCAAAAATTAAGATATGTGAGATTTTGTTGTTTACTATCCTAACGTTGCCAAGTATTAACATCCACCAGCGCACTGCCAAGTGAAATCAAATCCAAATCTGTGAAACAGAGCAAAAATGGCAACAAGTTGAATTTGTTCTT